TCTCAAACACACACACTCTCTCACACACATACACTACCTCACACTCATACTCTCTCAAACACACACACACTCTCTCTCTCTCACACACACACTCCCTCTCACTCGCACACTTCCTCTCACACGTATACTCCTTCACACTCACACTCTCTCAAATACATACACAATCTCTCAGACACACACACTTGCACACTCCCTCTCTCACACACACACACTCCCTCACACTCATACTCTAACACACACACTCTCCGACTTTCTCTCTCTCTCTCACACACACACACACTCACACACATATACATTCACACACACACACACATATACACACTTATACACAGACACAGACATGAATTATTTCATCCAAGATGTTTGTGTTGTTGCAGGTGCATTCTGTTTTGCTCAAACACGCCTGATCCCAGTTTAAAACACAGACAGATTCTAATCAAGACCTCACACCTAAAATGCATTGTCTGAGCTGAGATGTCTACAATGATAAAACCATCTCGAGACAATGACTTGAAAGGAATCTGGATTTTGCATTTCATACAGTAGTCTCCTTCCTAACTGGTTAAAGATTTGAATGGGGCTGCCAGTTTCAGGTTTGTTATCTTTCTGCTTATAAATTCTATGTTTTTTACCATCTCTCACACTACACCTGAGGAAGCGGCTGAGCTCCAAAACGCTAAGTATTCAAATAAACCTGTTGGACTATAACCTGGTGTCATGTGATTTTTGATCTTGCCCAGCCCAGTCCAATACCAGCATCTCCATGTTATTTACATGTGCATAGTACATGACACTGACCCAGCTGGCTCAGAGCTGGTTCCTAGAGTGAACAGAACCCCTGACACTCCTGTTTAAGTCTGTCAGCCAGGACTCCCTGATTGGATCAGGTTAACAGCCCCAATCAGGGAACTCATATTCTGTGAGGTCCAGCTGGCTGACCTCGTTCCAATTACTACAGATTTGTGCTAGGGAAGTCATGTCTCACAAACTTGACTGAGTTTTTTTGAGGAAGTTACCAAAAAGATTGATGGGAGCTGAGCGGTAGATGTTGTTTACAAAGACTTTAGTGAAGCCTTTGACAAGGTTCTGCATGGCGGACCAATTAGTAAAGTTAGGTAACATGGGATTCAGAGTGGGACTGCCAATTGGATACAAAATAGACTTGATGCTAGGAGACAGAGGGTGGTAGTGGGGCTTTGTTTTTCAGACTGGAGGCCTGTGACCAGTGGTGTTCCACAGGGATTGGTGCTGGGTCTGCTTTTGTTTGTCATTTGTACAAATGATTTGGATGAGAATTTAGGAGGCTTGGTTAGTAAGTTTGCAGATAACACCAAAATTGGTGGTATAGTGAACTGTGAAGAAGGTACCTGAGATTACGAAGAGATCTTGATCAATTGAGTCAATGGTTTGAGGACTGGCAGATGGAGCAAAAACAGAAGTTGCTGGAAAAGCTCAGTAGCTTCTGTTTTCTTCACAGATGCTGCCAGACCTGCTGAGCTTTTCCAGCAGCTTCTGTTTTTGTTCCTGATTTACAGCATCCGCAGTTCTTTCAATTTTTATTGACTGGCAGATGGAGTTGAATTTGGGTAAATGTGAAGCATTGCATTTTGACAAAGCAACAAGGGGCCTGGGCAGTGTTGTAGAATAGAGAGACGTCGGAGTTCAGGTACATAATTCTTTGAAATTTGCATCACATGTAAACAGGATGGGTAAGAAGGTGTTTAGCACACTTGCCTTCATTGCTCAGACCTGTGAGTATAGGAATTGGGAGATTATGTTGAGGTTGTACAGGACATTGGTGTGGCCTCTTCTGAAGTACTGTGTGCAATTCTGGTAGCCCTGCTATAAGAAGGAAAATATTACATTGGAGAGGGATTTACTAGGATGTTACTGGGAATGGAGGGTTTGAGTTTTAAAATAATTAGGGGCATCGATAAGGTGAATCGCAAAGGTCTTTTCCTTAGGGTGGGAGAGTTCAAAACTAGGGGAATGATAGGGGAAAGTTTTAAAAAGGAAATGAAGGGCAACTTTTTTTACACAAGAGAATGGTCCGTGTATGGAATGCTCTGCCGGAGGAAGTGGTGGATGTAGCTACAATTTCAACATGTAAAAGACATTTGGGTGGGTACATGAAAGGAAAAGTTGAGAGGGATATGGGGCAAATGCAGGCAAGTGGACGAGTTTAGTTTGTGAACTTGATTGGCATGGACTAGTTGGACAGAAGAGTCTGTTTCCATGCTGTAGGCCTCTATGAGATTATAAATGGATTTTTAAAAAATCTGCTGAGTTGAATGAAACAGGTACACAAAAAGTTGAAAACATGGTTCACCACTTACCACAATTAGGGATCTGTAATAAATAAGAACCTTGTTTTAGTGGTACAGACTCAATGAGCTAAAAGGCCTCTTCCGTACTTTATAATTTGACAATTCTGTGATTTGTTAGTGATTCTCATAGAATAAAAATTGTGAAACTTTCAGAAATGTGTAGATTTGAAGTGACCTGTTCCATTGGACAAGTTTTTGTGCTGAATGGAAAATTCACTGCACTAGAGCAAGCTTGGTTTACAGCTTCCAATTCAGTCACTTGCTCAAGAACCCCGGCTGCTGAGTGAGGCAGCACCATCCCTTTCAGTGATGAGCTTCCTCTATTCTGCAAACAAGGCTAGCAGTAGAGTAAGGAAGACACCCTCCTGAGGAAGGGTCATTCTACAGCTTGATGTGCATGAGGACATTCTCCTGACCTCATTTATTTAGTGTGATCAGCACTAGAAGTGAAAAGGTGCTTTTGTGGTAGGTACCCCGTCAATTGTCGGTCATCCACACTGCATGGCCATCTCTGGGTTACAATCACACTGCTCACATTCCCAGACCTCTCCGTACCTGCAGTATCCATGTCACAGTAGACTCTGATGGGCAGTCCACCAATGGAGGGAATGATGGTGTAGACTCCAGACTGACTCACCCCGTTGTAATAGATGCTTGCACAGTCAAGGGGACAGTTCCGAATGTACTGGAGATCTAGAGGAGGTATGAAACACAGATAAGGTTCAGGATGGAGACTCTGCAATCTTGGCAGAAACACTCAAGGATCTAATCTTTCTGCCAATATTCATCATCTGTCAGGTCTCCAAGATATGTGCATCTCCCTCTCTCCCTATTTATTTCAGAACCCCCTTCCCCTCCCCCATTTCTGAAGAAGGATCTAGGCCCGAAACGTCAGCTTTCCTGCTCCTCTGATGCTGCTTGGCCTGCTGTGTTCATCCAGCTCTACACCTTGTTATCTTTGCCTACATCCCGTGTTCTGTCCACTTCCCAACCTCTGGTCCTGTCCGACAAATACTGGACCCTGTCCTCCAACCACTAGCCCTTGTTCTCTGACCACTGGCCTCTGTCCTCAAACCACTGGCCCCTGTCCTCCAATTCTCTAACTTTCCTTGGTGGCACAAAGCCCATGCAACACGAAATCCCCAATGCAGACAGGTCAAGTGGAACTGAGCCCACGCTGTGGCAATGAGACCCAAGGTATAAGGGAGCCCTGTGATGAAGGAGAACCGTGGCGAGGAGGAGCTCCAATAGTGAGGAAGACTCGCCCTCAGACAAGAAAGGGAAAGTCAGTCAGAGTTTCAACTCTTGATAACAGCCTGTGAGTCCTGTTAGATTTCAGACAAGAAGACAATTAGGATCACTTTGTGATGGTCAATGGTCAGTGTGTGATGGTCAGTGTGTCATAGTCACTGTGCAATGGTCAGTGCATCATGGTCAGTGTGCGATGGTCAGTGTACGATGGTCAGTGTGCGATGGTCAGTGTGTTACGGTCAGTGTGCAATGGTCAGTGTGTGATGGTCAGTGTACGATGGTCAGTGTGTTATGGTCAGTGTGCAATGGTCAGTGTGCGATGGTCAGTGTGCGATGGTCTGTGTACGATGGTCAGTGTGTGATAGTCAGTGTGATATGGTCTGTGTGTGATGGTCAGTGTGTGATGGTCAGTGTGTCACAGTCAGTGTGTCACAGTCAGTGTGTGATGGTCAGTGTGTGATGGTCAGTGTGTGATAGTCAGTGTGTCACAGTCAGTGTGCGATGGTCAGTGTGTGATGGTCAGTGTGTCACAGTCAGTGTGTGATAGTCAGTGTGTCACAGTCAGTGTGTGATGGTCAGTGAGTGATGGTCAGTGTGTCACGGTCAGTGTGTGATGGTCAGTGTGTCACAGTCAGTGTGCGATGGTCAGTGTGTGATAGTCAGTGTGTGATGGTCAGTGTGCGATGGTCAGGGTGTGATGGTCAATGTGTGATACTCAGTGTGTGATGGTCAGTGTGTCACGGTCAGTGTACGATGGTCAGTGTGTGATGGTCAGTCGGTGTTGAGCATTGTACAATGATCAGTGTTCAATGGTCAGTGTGTCACAGTCAGTGTGTGATGGTCAGGGTGCTCTGGTCAGTGTGTGATGGTCAGTGTGTGATGGTCAGTGGTGATGGTCAGTGTGCGATGGTCAGTGTGCAATGGTCAGTGTGTGATGGTCAGTGTGTGACAGTCAATGTGCGATGGTCAGTGTGTGATACTTTGTGTCACAGTCAGTGTGCAATGGTCAGTGTGTCATGGTCAGTGTGTGATGGTCAGTGTGCACTGATCAGTGTGTGATGGTCAGTGTGTGATGGTCAGTATGTGCTGGTCAGTGTGTGATGGGTGGTGTGGTATGGTCAGTGTGTCACGGTCACTGTGTGATGGCCAGTGTGTCACCGTCAGTGTGCAATGGTCAGTGTGTCACGGTCAGTGTGTGATGGTCAGTGTGTCACGGTCGATGCGTGATGGTCAGTTTGCAATGGTCAGTGTGTTACAGTCAGTTTGTGATGGTTACTATGCGATGTTCAGTGCATGATGGTCAGTGTTTGATGGTTAGTATGTGATGGTCAGTTTGTGATGGTCAGTGTGTGACTGTCAGTGTGTGATGGTCTGTGTGAGATGGTCAGTGTGTGACGGTCAGTGTGTCACGGTCAGTGTGTGATGGTTGGTGTGGTATGGTCAGTGTGTGACGGTCAGTGTTTGATGGTTGACGTGATATGGTCAGTGTGTCATGGTCAGTATGTGATGGTTGGTGTGGTATGGTCAGTGCGTGGTTGTCAGTGTGTGAGGTCAATATTTGACGGTCAATACATTACGGTCTCTGTGTTATGGTTCAGTGTGTGATGGTCAACATGTTATGGTCAGATATCTTGCTGTGTTTTAGCAATAGATACTAGGGGTTCTTTCCTTATGGGAGCCAGTTGATTAGTTTGGGAGGGATCTGTACTATAACCGAGGGGTCAGTTGGAGAAAAGGAGGGATAATTTGAAGGAGCTACCTGACAGTTTGTGTTGTTCAGACAGAAGGTGGTGTTGGAGTGAGCAATTGCTGTTGCTGTGAGCCTGGTCCAGCCGCGCCAACAGGTTGTGAACTTGTGTCTGCAAGTCATAGATGAGTGAGGCATGAATATGCAACAAGGTGCTGGTCTCACTGGATCGCTGTTTCACGTGCTGTACCTCAGCCTCCAACTTCATATCCTTTTGACCCTTCTCCTGGAGCTGGGAAAGATCACAAAAATGCATCAGGTAAATCTGGAATAGGTGACTCACACAGGTCTCCTAGCAATGCCCCCTTCACATCAATCGTGTTAGATACATTGGAGCATCATATCCCAGAGATACTGTTACACAGAAAATAGAAACATTGAAAATAGGAGCAAGAACAGACCATTCAGCCCATCAAACATGCCCTTGCATTCAATCTGATCATGCCTAAAACTCTAACTCAATGCCATACTATCTCCCCATATCCCTTAACACCTTTACAGACTGGAAATCCAGATATTGTGACCCCTTGTTCTAGACCCTTCAGCCAGGGGAAACATCTTCTCTGCGGCCAGTCTGTCAAAGTGCTACATGCTACAACCCAGATGCACAGACAATGAAGAATGGCCAAGCAGTTTTCATTCCTGGGGATAGGCCGTTCACCAATATCCACCACAAATCTAACAGAACACACCACAGTTACCTCAAATACACTTCCTCACATCCTGCTTCCGGTAAGGACTCCATTTCATTCTCCCAGTTTCTTAGTCTTTGTTGCATCTATTCTGATGATGTCACCTTCCACAGAAATGCTGCCAACATGACCTCCTTTTACCTCAACTAAAGACCCTCTCCCAACCCACCATGGTTGACAGGACCCTCAGGCACGTCCGATCAATTCCCATGTTTCTATCTCCCCTCCATCTCTATTCCTCCCCAACAGAAAAACCTTCTTAATCTCCACATTCAAATGATCATATTCTGCCATTCCCGCCACCTCTAGCAGGATGCCACCACCAAACACATCTTCCCCTCTCCTCCACTGTCAGCATTACATAGGTAACGTTCCCTCTGTGATACCCTGGTCCATTCTTCCATCACTCACTACACTTCCTCACTGCCCCTTAGCACCTTCTAATGCAATCACAGAAGATGTAGCACTTGCCCATTCACCTCCATCCTCCTCACCATCCAAGACCTGAACTTACCTTCCAGGTGAAACAGTATTTTACTTGAACTTCTTTCAATCTGGTCTACTGTGTTCGCAATGTTGCAGCCTTCCGACAAAATTATCTACAAGATGCACTGCAGAAATTCACCGAAGATCCTCATTTTCAAACCCACGACTACTTTCATCTACAAGGACCAGGACAGCAGATACACTGGAACACCACCAGCGGCAAGTTCCCCTCTAAATTACTTACCGTCCTGACTTGGAAATATATCGCTGTTCCCTCACTGTTGCTGGGTCAAAATCCTGGAATTCCCTCCTTAATGGCATCGTGGGTCAACCCATAGCACATGGACTGCAGTGGTTCAAGAAGGCAGCTCACCATCACCTTCTCAAGGGCAACAAGGGCCAAAGGGACGGGCAACAGGGGCCAAAGGGACGGGCAATAAATGCTGGCCCAGTCAGCAACACCCACATTCCACAAACAAATAAAAAAAACTCTCTTTCTCTCTCCACACATACTGCCATATCTGATGAGTAACTCCAGCACTTCTTATTTTTATTTCAGATATTCAGCATCTGCAATGCATTAGTTTTGTCAAAAAAGTAGTAATCTGGTTGTACAGAACTTGATTATTGCACAGAAATATATAAAATAGGAGCAGGAGTAGGCCATTCAGCCCTTCATGTCTGGTCCACCATTCATTATAATTATGGCTGATCATCAAGTTCATAGTCTGTTACTGTTTTTCTCCCATATCCTTTGATCCCTTTAGTCCCAAATGCTATAACCAACTCCTTCTCGAAATTACACAATGGTATCATAGACTGGTCTCTAAGGTTCTTGAGTAAATTTGTAGCTTGGGTTGTGGATACTGTGGTTGGTTTGCTTGCTGAATTGGTTCATTAGTTCGCAGACGTTTCATTAACCTGTTGGGTCACATCATCAGCGCAGCCTCCAATGAAGCGCTTTCTGTGGCAGAGAATTCCACAGACTCACCACTCACTGGGTGAAGTAATTCCACTTCATCTCTAACCTAGTTGGTTTGCCCGGTATCCTTAGACTGTGACCCCCTGGTTCTTGACTTCCCTGTCATTGTGAACATTCTTCATGTATCTATCCTGTTCAAATTTTATAGGTTTTTATAGGTTGCTGAAAAAGACTAATTTTGATGAAGTTTTTCATCTTGCACTCATCAGGACAATCCTCAAGAAAAGAAATTAAAGGAGAAAACCATCTTGTATACTGTAGGAAGACAATGCTGATTCGTTGGAATATTGGCTCTGATTGGTCAAAACATTGCCATGCGAAATTAACTAATGAATGGCTGTCATCTATTTTATTGAGTTGAAACAGGCAATTTGTGAATACATGTTCTTTCTATTGCAAAGAACAGTGCACTGTGTGTTATTATACGTAACTTTCAGTACATGCAAGTGTACCACACTGTGAATCCAAATGACAGTCCTAAATCAGTTATCAGTGTGATTCCTTGTACATTAAGGATTATCCAACAAATGATGTCCAATCACAGGATCACATCCAATATTGGACAGTGAAGGTCAGTTGAGCACTGTCAGTACCTTGCTCATCGCAAATAGCTGATGATACAGAGAAGCATACAATATAGAAGAAGTCCTTTGACCTGTCAGGTCTGTACTGCCAAAGCTTGCCAAATCTACACAAACCCCACCTTCCTGCAATAGGCCCAGAGCCTTGAATGTTATGCATTTCAAGTGCTCATCTACGTACATTTTAAAGGTTGCGAGGTTTCCTGTCTCAGCTACACTCCCGTTGAAGATTTCCACGACCACGTGGGTGAAGACATTTCTCTTCATTTTAGTCCCAAAACGTTGACCCCTTATTCTTAAACTATGACCCCTGGTTCTGGACTCCTGCACCATTGGGATATTCCTTCCTGTACCTAACCTGTTTAGTCCTGTTAGAATGTTATAAGTTTCTATGAGCTGGCCCTTCATTCTTCTAAACTCCAGTGAATACAATCCTAACTGACTCAATCTCTCCTCTTAAGTCAGTCCTGCCATCCCAGGAATCAATTTGATAAACCTGCACTACTCTCCTTCTGTAGCAAAAAATCCTTCCTCAGATATAGAGACCAAAACTGCTCACAATATTCTAATGTGGCCTCACCAAGGCCTTGTATAATTGCAGCAAGACATCTCTGTTCCTGTACTCGAATCCTGTCACTATCAAGACCAACATACAATTTACCTTCTTCACCACCTGCTACACCTGCACACTTACTTTCAGCGACTAGCGCACAAGGACACCTATGTCTAGTCAAACATTCCCCTCTCTCAAAATTACAGCCGTTCAAATAATAATCTCCCTTCCTATTTTTGTTACCAAAGAAGATAACCTCACATTTGTTGACATTATACTATATCTGCCATGTATTTGCCTACTCACTCAACCTGTCCAAATCATACTGCAACATCTCTGCATCCTCCTCACAGCTCACCCTCCCATCCAGCTTTATGTTATCTGCAAATTTTGAGATATTACATTAAGTTCCCTCATCTAAATCTTTTAATTTTACATATTAATCTCTCTTGTGGGACTTTGTCAAAAGCCTTCTGAAAGTCTAAATAAACTGCATCCACTGGCTCCGTCAATCTACACAACTTGTTACACCCTCGAAGCATTACTGTAGATCTGTCAAACATGACTTCCCTTTTATAAATCCGTGCTGACTATGTCAGATTCTGTCACTGATTTGTAAGTGCTCTGCTATAAAATCCTTCATACTCAAGATGACTCAAGCACCTTCCCATTCCCACCATCAGAATGACTGGTCTATAATTCCCTGTTTTCACTTTACCTCCCTTTTTAAATAGTGAAGTTACATTAGCTACCCTTCAATCTGTAGGTATTGTTCCAGAATCTAAGGAATCATGGAAGATGAACACCAATGCATCCACAATTTCCAATGCCTCTTCCTTAAGTGTTCAGGGATGTAGATTGTCAGGCCCTGGGAATTTAGCAGCCTTCAATCCTATCAATGACTCCAAAACCATTTCACTACTAATACTGGTTTGGTTCAGTTCCTCCTTCTCACTAAACCCTGTGTTCTCCGTCATTTCTGGGATGTTATTTGTGTCCTTCTTTGTGAAGTCAGAAGCAAAGTATGAATTTAGTTCGTCAGCCACTTGTTTGTTCCCAATTATAAATTCCTTCATTTCTGACTGTAGGGGGGTCCTACGTTAGTTTTTAACCAATATATTTCTCTTTACATACTTATAGAAACTTTTACAGTCAGTTCTTAAGTTCCCCACAAGATACCTCTCATCCTCGATTTTCCCCTTCTTAATCAATCTTCTGAACTGTTTCCAGCTCTTTTGTTTTTTCTAGCCAATTTGGATGTCCCTTTTTTGCATCTAATACTATCCCTAGCTTCCTTCATAAGCCCTGGTTTGGCCACTGTTCTCCTTACACTCTTGTGCAAGACGGGAATAAACAATTTTTGTAGTTCGCCCATTCATTCTTTGAATGTTTGGCATTGCCTGTCCATTGTCATTCCTTTCAGTTACATTTCCTAATCATAGCCAACTCCTGTCTTATACCATCGTAGTTTCCCTTATTCAGATTCAGGACCCCAGTCTCAGAATCAACTACCTCACTCTCCATCTTGATGAAGAATTTTATCTTATTATAGTCACTGATCTCCAAGGGGTCTCTCACAACTACATTACCAATTATGCCATTCTCATTGCATAATACCCAATCTAAGATGGTCTGTTCTCTAATTGCTTCCTCAATATTGGTCCAGAAAACAATCCCATACACATTTTAGGAATTCCTCCTCTCCAGTACTGCAGCTAATTTGATTCGTTCAACCTATATGCAAATTAATTTTGCCTTTAAATACAGATTTTCCTTTACTGGATGCATTTCCTGTTTAATGCCATTCTGAAGATCATCACTATAATTTGGTGGTCTATACACCAGCCCCACTGAAGTTTTTTGTCCCATGGTGTTTCTCAATTACCCATACAGATTCTACACTGTCTGACCTAATATCTTTCTGTAATATTGTGTTTATATCCTCTTTAACCAGTAATTAACCACAATCAAATGGTAGAACAGACTTGATAAGCCAAATGGCCTAATTCTGCTCCTACATCTTATGATCTTATAATGCAACTCTATCACCATTTCCTTTTTGTCTGTCCTTCCTAAATACTGAATACCCCTGGATGTTCATTTCCCATCCTTGGTCACCCTGCAGCAATGTCTCTGTAATTCTAACTATGTCATGCCAGTTTACATCTGTTTGTGTTGTTAATTCAAAAAATAATTTACTTTGAATGCTCTGTACATTCAGGCCAAAGCCTGAAAGCTTGTCTTTTTAATGCACATTGTTCTATTTGCACTATTTTTTCCTGCGATTCTGGCCTTTGATTCCTCTGCCTTTCATTTTTCTTATTCCTCTTTCTGCCATTTTTTTCTTGTTCTTGATTATCTTCTTTTGACTTCTTGTTTAGGTTCCCATCTCCCTGCCTTCCCTAGCACGTGACCAAATCCCCCTCACTCTGGTATCAGTCCCCCTCATCCTGGCATCAGGCCCCCTCATCCTGGGATCAGTCCCCCTCAACCTGGCATCAGTCCCTCTCACCCTGGCATCAGGCCCCCTCACCCTGGCATCAGTCCTGGTCCTGCCCAGGTGTAAGCCGTGCAGTTTGTACTGGTTCCACCTCCCCCAGTACCGTCCCAATGCCCCAGGAATCTGAAAGCATCGCCATCATACCATCTCTTTAGCTGCCTGTTCGACTGATAGTTCCTGCTATTTACACTCTGACTAACAATTGGCATTGGCAATAATCCCAAGATTACTACCTTTGAGGTCCTACTTTTCAGCTTGCTTCCTAACTCCCTATATTCAGTTTTTAGGACCTCATCCCTTTTTCTCTTATGTCATTGTTACCAACATGCACAATGACCATCGGCTGTTCACCCTCTCCCTCCAGGATGTCCTGTAGCTGCTCAGAAACATCCTTGACCCTGGCACCAGGGAGGCAACATACCATCCCGGATTCTCATTTACAGCCACAGAAATGCTTGTCTATTCCCCTTACAATTGAATCCCCTATGAATGTTGCATTCCCACATTTTTAGCTCCTCCTCGTGCCATGAATTTGGCTGTTTTCCTCTGAAGGCCATTCCCCTCAACAGTACCCAAAGCGGTATATCTGTTCATCAGGGGAAAGGCCACAAGGGATTCTTACACTGCCTGCCTAGTCCTCTTACTCTGCCTAGTGGGGTGACCAGAACTGCACACAGTGCTCCTGCTGCGGCCTAACCAAAATCTTGTACAGCTCCAACATAGCCTTGCTGCCCTTATAATCAATGCCTCAACTAACAGAGGGAAACATCCTGTATGCCTTCTTAACCACCATATTAACCTGTCCAGCCACTTCCAGGGATCTGTGGACAAGCATCCTAAGATTCCTCTGTTCACATTATTTGATATGATCTACCAGTCTTTGGAATTTACTGCTGACATACCTGGCATCAAGCAAGCACTAAAGTTCATCTACCACATTATTCAGACTGAAAAATGGCCATTTACTTGCCATTTTCTGTCCTTAAGTGAATTCCTTATCCAAGCTGACACTGACCCTCCTATTCCAGGAGTTTCAGTTCTGTTAAAGAAATTCTTATGTGGCAATTTGTCAAGCATATTCTTTCAGTCCATATAGAAAATGTCAAACCATCTTTTTCTTTCTTTATTCATTCAGGGGATAAGGATGTTGCTGGCCAGGCAGCATTTATTGTCCAGCCATAATTGCCCAGAGATCAGTTAAGAGTCAACCACATTGCTGTGGTTCTGGAGTCACATGTAGGCCAGATGAGTTAAGGATGGCAGTTTCCTTCTCTAAAGGACATTAGTAAAACAGTTGGGTTTTTTCCAACAATTGGTAATGGATTCAAGGTCATCATTACACTCTCATAGATTTTTTATTGAATTCAAATTCCACCATCTGCCATGGCGGGATTCAAACCCGGGTCCCCGGAACATTACCTGGGTCTCTGGATTAATAGTCCAATGATAATACCACTAGGCCATCACCTTCCCTAAAGAAATAATAGGAACAGGAGTAAGCCATTCAATCGTTTGAGCCTGCTCCGTCATTCATTATAAACATGACTGGTCCTCAGTCTAAGTGTATTTTTCTACTTTCTGTAGTTGGGGGACTTCAATGTCCACCACCAAGCATGGCTTTGCAGCACTTGTACTGATCGAGGTGATCAAATCCTAAAGAACAGAGCTGCAGCAGACGGTGAATCAGTAAAATGATGGAAAGTGTTATCAACAGTGCTATTGAGCAGCAACTGCTCTGTAATAACCTTCTCACTGTCACCAAGTTCCGCCAGCGCCACTCAGTTCCTGACTTCATTATAACATTTGTTCAAACATGAACAAAATAGCTGAATTCCAGAGGTGAGAATGGCTTCCCTTGACATCAGGGCTGCATTTTGACTGAGTGTGACATTAAGGAATCCTAGCAAAACTGCAGTCAATGGGAATCAGGATATTATTATGTAATGGAATGCCTGAGCCTTATGGAATGAAGGACATACTAATGAAGGGTTAATGGGGTGAGAATTATATATTGCATAAATATGGGGAGCTAGTATTTGGTGGTGTGTGAGTTCTATGAAAGTCAGTTAACTGAAATAAAACTCTCACCAAAAGTATAAACTTGGACATTTATTTTTGAATGTTTAACAAGGGGGAGAACTCTCTACTTGCTGGAGTTATACTGGTACAAAGAAGGTGGTTGTTTGAGGTCAGCCACCTCAGCTCCAGGAAAAC